TGTCGGTCTTGAAACGCAGTCTGCAGCTGAAGCTAGATTAATACAATTGCATAATTAAATTGAGAATAAATTTAAGCTCTTTTTATACACTGTGCTTTTTACATATCGTAAATCGTATAACCGATCATTCCGAGATATTAGAGTCGCGCGACGTGTTGGCTGTCATGCCGGATGAATTTGTAACGATCATTAATTCGTATTGTCACTTGAATGCCTAAACCAGTTTGTTCCAGAACTCGTTATGATTGTGCCTTTTGACGCACGAGCACCATAAATCAGCGGTATAATAATTCCGGGATGCTGTACGCGCGCGCGCGCATAATACGACCATCACTCGACATGAGTTTGCGGCATTTATGTTTATTCACAATACCAGCACTCGGTAGCATTATGTTGTTTCGTATGTGCAATTGTTACGAGTCGAGAGCTTGCTACGAGCATAATTTCGTAATATTGTTTACGCAGAAAGATCGTGATGCGTAATAAAACGAGATTTCCGAGACGTGTAAGTCATATAATGCATGGCACTTGTATAATAAGAATTGCGTTATTTTACATACAGTTATTACGCATCGCGAGCTAACGTTTCGCGTTTTGCCAAGATGTAACAATCTCGTGGCATTGGACACACGAGAGAAGAGCGTCGCGCAAAATCAATCTGCGGCGTTCGCGCGCGTGGTTCACTCAATTTCGCGAAATTGATACGAGCCGAATGTAGATAACGTGATATGCAATTTGTACCCGTTGCATGCTCGTCGCGATCGATCGATTTCGACGTTGTTGATAGAACTAATTCCCATTTCTCTCGTGACGCAACATCCCGATTCCGCGTGCACCTGTCACTCGCTTCGCGATGACAACCCATGCGGTAACTGGTCGCAGATGAAAGGGCCGTTAATTAATTCCCACAAGCGACGGTTGCAAAAACAACAGCGGAATCAGGCGCGAAAATAATTATTACCAGCGAACTCGCGCTGTAAATTTACGAGTTTAATTTTCCGAGCGTAATGTTGCACTTTCATCGATCAGCACGCGATGTATTTCGGGCCGTGTCTCTTCGTCTTCACCCTGCTTCTTCCCTGGCTTTGTGCGAGTATTTTAACGTTGTTATATCGGAAATTGATAAAAAGGGGCTTATGTATTACTACGCATTATCATGCGCGCGCTATATAAATACGGAAACGTTTTTAAGCATTGTCTGTGCGTTATTTGGCGTTTTTATTACCACTCCCCGGCATCGCAGCGACGATGAAGATGTTTATTAACGGCTTAAGCGAATTTGTAAATACTTTTTACTGATTTACAGATCGTAATTTAGTATATCTTTTGATTGTACGCAAACGCACGTATCTAGACGTAAATTAATTGCATTACGCATATTTATTCATGGCAGAACCCCGAATTACCATATTACTCGAACTACCGTAGAAATTTTACTCATTTGGGTACCATTGAAAGCTTATTAATAATAAATGGTCATGGTAATCGGTCGCGAATACATCATCATCCGTTCTATTGTTTTGGCATCACCGGTTTTACATTAATTACATCGGGTATGCGAGGGATGCTGTTTCTCGTTTCGTTGCTGCGGGCAGCAATTACGCATTTTGATTGCGTCGCTTTTAAAATCATGGAAAGAGCTTTCAATTTTTTTTTGAATATTTATCAGGCGGCTTCGACAGATAAAAACGCGGGAACGTCGCGTTGTATCTCGATCGCCTAAAGAATTTATATTTTTATATTTGCAATTTTGCGCACGCCCGAGTTGCTCGCCTTCCGCTTCATTTATGATACTCCAACAACAAACACAGCAACAACTACGCGGTGACACAACGGCGATCCTCTTGTAATCCCAGCTGCGCTCGATGCGGAGCAGCAACGGTGACACGGTGTCGCTAGAAATAACAATATCGGATTTTGTACATGTGTACGTGTGTGTGTTATCCTATAGTCGTCATAGCGTCTTCTGATCTAAATAATATTCCGAGTTATGCTCGCTTTGGGAGTCGCGTCTCGTCTGCTGAAACCGGCTATTTTCTCGTTTTCCACTCTTGTACTACGTACTACGCTAAAAAATCATTCTTCCGTTTAAAGTATAATTACGACGTCTGTTACAGCTTTGTTTCCAACAGCTTTGTTACTCACGCAGACGTTGTTAAATCGCACTACGATATTTCAAGGCCGATGAGTATTCTACGTGGTATATTAATATTCGCAATATTGTGGGCAGAAATAGATTTCTTGAAGAACGTGGCAAAGAAGAAGCAAGGAAGAACTGTCATATCTTTATGTTGCGTACAATATTTGTGATATAAACATATGCATATACATATAATGATGCAAATACCGAAATCTAAATCGTGATGTGCATTCAAGAAGTTCATCTAAAAAAAAAAATCTTTATTACTTAACTTAGAGAGATAAGACGAAATAAAATCCTTTTTAAAAAATTAATTTTTCCGTTAACATTGCCATCGCAATCCAATTACGAAGCCGCACTTCTCGAGAAACACGAAGCAGTATGACTTTATCCGTAAAAAGACTAAAAAGCGAGAGCACTGGATATCTTTTGCGTTGGGATATCTGTTTTGACCCGTTACGTAAGACGGAGCAAATTCGTGTTTTATTCCCCGCGGCGGCTTCGGAAACGCCAAAGCGGCGTTAATCACGACGACGCAAAGCGCCGCCGTTAATCACGCCAAGTACACACGTATTTGCGGCCATGTGCCACAGACACGCACAACGGTGCACACGGGAGTTCTCTCCCTGTGTTTGCACACCGAATAGATGGAGGAGATTCTTCGTTGGCTCCCCGAGTGCTCCGACTTTCTATCCTACAATTCATCTATTGTTTCGGCGGCTTTGCTGCCGGGAGGTCGTCCAAAGTGTTCCATCATTCGACACGTTCCGTTCAAAGCGAAAAGGATCAATAAATCGTCGACTGTACACCCGCGAGCGAGAAAATCAATCGTAATTAATTGGAGCGGTTTTGCGAAGAGCACCCGTGCAATTATATTATTTTGTTATAGATAATAAACGAATTTAATTAAAATTAAAATTGTGAATGCCCTTTGAAATTTTAGCACGAGCGAGCTTGATGCTTCAAATCTTTATACTCTTTATTACTCTTTATACTCTTTATACTCTTTATACTCACTATCAATTTTGCTGTATAAAGGCAGGTAGAAAAAGAACGTGTAACGCAATTTGCATCATGCTGATATTTTCCACGAAAATGAGATTGTTATTACTGATATATTGCTTGTCGTTTTTCTCTGAAAGAATTTGGATTATTTTTATATATTTTATTAATTTCTACTTATCTACATTGTTTTATGAGACATTTAAATTATCTTTAAGTATATATAATTTATACTTGTTACATCTGCCTCTCTTATTAATGTCGAGAAGTACTATTTAACATAGTAGGTGTTTCTCTTGTCTGTGGATTTGTCTGTGGTGAGATGTGAATCGCGAATAACGTTCTTGTTACCTTTCAACTTGCGAGGAGTTTACCTTTGCCGGGAGAAGCCTAATCGCAATCTTGTTAGCAAGTCAGAAAAGCTTATATTCATACATACTTAGTAGTTAACAAACAACATTTTTAGCGGTTATTAGAAAACGGTATATTAATTTATTGAAAACGCAGTTTCCAGATCGACGAGGAAAAATGTGGGTGGACAACGATTTATGAATGTTAGCGGTAAACGATTAATGCCAATGCAGCTCAATAAGGGCTATAATTTACATTTTGAAAATTATATCTTGATACGGCTTACAATACGTATTTAATTAATAAATTATTAATTGACGTGATATTTAGCGCGCGCTCGTTATCTTAATTATTGGCTTCTGTATAAACCCAGATAAGCGAACGATGATATCTCGATTTGTACTAGATTGAGTCGCAGTCTGAGTATGCGATAGTTGCAAGCTTATACGCTTTTCACGCTGTTATTTCCGAGCGACGTCGGATATATCACGTTTCCGTGTAAATTTTAAAGCACACTTAATCCGAGTTTCTACAAAGTTTCTAATTATTCATCTCGGGTTTCTGCGCGACTATATTATGCAAGACGTGAGATCATCTTTACGTCCTATTAATGTGAGATACGCCGATCAATAGCTCGCTTGGTGTCTACCGAGTTGCGATCGCGCCTTTGTCACTGTAAAATGACGTTCTACTTCGACATTTCCATTGTAACTTTTTTCCCGCGGAACGCTACGATAAATCATATATACGATGTGTGGCGTATAATAAAAAAATTGAATTCGCGAATAAATAAAACGCGAATGATAAAACTTTACGATGCATCGTGATGCATAAAAACAAAATGCAGCAGAGAATATATGTTATAGGGTAAATTTTTCTATTTTACAGATGTTTTGCGACTTTTATAGCAGCAAAGAAATGCTTTTACGGCAATTTTTTGCGCATGATTGATGACGTACGATATGAAATCTCTCTTCCTCTCTCTCTCTCTCTCTCTTTCTCTCTTTCTCTTTGTCTTAATCCTTTTTACTTACCCGCAAGGCTTTAAAGCTGCCAGGCAGAACAAAGCCAGGACCTACCTCAATATCGACCTATATATCGCTGTTTCACCTCGCCCGGACCACATTTATTTAACGATGGTTTGCTCGCAATGTTGGTATTGCATAGCTGTAAAGCCGGAGGTGTGGCTATTATGTCTGTTCCACGCTGGAACTTCGTGTATTATCAGTGTTACGTGATAATATGCTATTGCGATATGATTAGGCTAATCATTGCAAAAAAAGTAGAAGCGCGAAGTTAATGCGTGATAAATATTTAAAGAATATATTTTCTTTTATGTAGTACAATTGTGTGCTAATAATTGCTTTGCTTTTCGAAAAACGCGACGTTTAATTTACATTATTTTTTGATAAATAAGAGACTTCATGAAATAAATTTCTTTATTTGTTGTTTCAAAACGATTAATATATTTAATATATTTATATCTTGCATATTTGTTAGTTTGGCAATGTATATTATTTTCAGGCTGGTCGACGACAGGTGTGTAGTATGTCCTGAAGCTGGAGATTTGTCGAATCCACCGAAGAAATTCAGAGGTAATTTACACTTTTTAAACGTCTTTATTTTTGCTCTTTGATTGATTCTTCTTTTTTGAATTAACATCATATTAAGTAAATATATTAATAAACTTATTGGTAATTTTTCCGACATCTAATTTTCTTAAACGTTATTATCCCGCGAAAATTAAAGCAGACGATGTTGGAGTAAATATGAGAAATGCCGAGCGATAGCAATCGTTGACTTTTTTAGATTGCCTCTTCAAAATATGTCCTATGAACCGGTATTCCGCCCAAAAGCAATTCTGGAAGGCAGCGAAACAGAGTGCGAGTTCGGGCACTGATGCCAGCTTGCTCAAAAGACTTCACGTAAGTATGCGGAAGATGCTACACTATTTAAATTCACGATTTAAATTCATCCACAATTAATTAAAGATTGCAAGAAAAATACACTCATACAAGCATATTCTTCTTATATAAAGTTGGAAACGGTAGATTTATTAACATACGATGCGTCTGAAGGGTAAATAAATGCGTGATGACTGATGAACATTAACACTCCCATATAAGAGTGCTTATAGATACGGGGATAGCTAACCGGTTCTTAATGTTATGACCAGTTTACTGATTACTTAATCGAGTTTTTTTACTGTGTATTAAACTGTGCGTTATATTGTGTACGCTTAATTGTCTCTGATTCTCCAGGTTTTGAAATTGAAAGGCAGATAATATATCTTACATATGTATCTCGACATAAATTATATTGTTTTGCAATTTATCTACGGTAGTTTTTAGTTGTTGATAATCACACCAGTTTAAAATACGTAACACTGCTGTTGGGTTTTTAATAGCGTTACGCAAATGTATCTTTCATTTTCCACGATTGCCATTTAATGGGAAATTATTTTTATTTCAGCATGCGGCCGAAATCGAGAAAAAGCAAAATGAGACTGAAAACAAGAAACTGTTGGGCTCCGTGGTTTCCTACGGTAACGTCGTCCAGGTAAGAAAATAAAAATCTTTTCTTCCTAGAAGGAAAATCCGTTGCAAGTGACATTATTTTATTAAAGTATATCTTGAACGTTTTATGCTTGACCGCATATTCTTATAACGTAAAGTGGTTATCTGAGTAATAATAGATTTATCAATACCGCTAGGGGAGCGGTTTTCCCCTCAACAACTTCTTTTTTCGCAAAGCGATCATAAAAACTGTTTGGTACATCCATTGTATTGACGTAGTTATCTTGTAATAGATAAGTGTTTGTGCTAATTAACGAGTTTTCCTTCTTCGCGATATTGTTGCCATGTCGGAAAATAGAAGCGGCGTTAAGTTTCTAGCAAATAATTAAATTTCCCTTTTACATTGTAGCGCATTGTTGCTAAAAATTATGAAATTATATAGCGCTTTGATCATCGGCAGATCAGATAACGTTGTGAAACGAACATTATGTTGCACCTATGATGTATTATAGATGTATTATAGATTGTATCTTCGATCGCAAAGGTAGCCATTAGACGTTTAATTAATTTCTGCTATAATGTATTCTTCATGAATCATCGATTCTCTTATCTTTTATTGATCTAGATATTATATAAGTTAATTAATCATTTTCAGTCTATATTATCTTGGTTTATACATTATATATTTTATCATACATTGCAAAATTATCTACTTATTATAGCTTCTATTTAATTTCCGGTATAACTCATCGTAATAAAATACAAACTCGTTCGAAATATGCACAGCGAATGTTGTACAATGCAAATATATGAGAATATGTAATTAGCATAGAGAGATTAATTTTATCGACATTGCGCTGCGTGCGTTTATATAAATAAATTTATGTTATATTTATACGCGTTGCACGCGTACGAATACAATTATTTATGTTGATTCTTTTTATGCGGCAGTTGCTGCATCTCAAGTCCAACAAATTCCTGACGGTAAACAAGAGGCTACCGGCGTTGCTGGAGAAGAACGCGATGAGGGTTTACTTGGACGCGAACGGAAACGAGGGCTCATGGCTTTACATAATGCCGTTCTACAAGCTGCGCAGCGACGGCGACAGCGTCGTCGTCGGGGACAAGGTGATCATGGAGCCGGTGAACTCGGGTCGTCAGGGCCTCCACGTGGCTGCCAATTACGAACTGAGCGACAATCCCGGCTGCAAGGAAGTCAACGTCGTGAATTCGTCCACCTCCTGGAAGGTAACCCTCTTCATGGAGCATCGGGAGAACCAGGAAGAGATTCTTAAAGGCGGCGACGTGGTGCGACTGTTTCACGCCGAGCAAGAAAAGTTTCTGACCATGGACGAGTATAAGAAAAAGCAACACGTGTTTCTCAGAACGACGGGCAGGACCAGCGCTACCGCGGCCACCAGCAGTAAAGCCTTGTGGGAAGTCGAGGTGAGATGAGCTAATCAAGTTTATATAAATTTATTTATATAAGGATGCTGTATTTTATTTAACGTGCAACAATCGAAATTGAGCTTTCGAAATTTCATTGTTCGAATTCTCGTTGTACGAAGCGTTCATGCTGATTATTCTGGGCGCGTCTGTTTCTTATAAGTAATGAATGCTATTTATTTATTGATGAGTAGGTGGTGCAGCACGATCCGTGCAGAGGCGGCGCTGGCCACTGGAATTCACTCTTCAGGTTTAAACACTTAGCAACTGGCCAATATCTCGCCGCTGAGGTTGATCCGGAAGAACCACGGGAACCCGTGAAGGGCAAGCGCGGTAAGGCATACAGATACTTTGAAATTAATATACTAGAGTACACATCTAATATTTTTAATTGGAAAATGTTTCATTATAATTTTATTATAACTTGTTCTAAAAATATTTGGCATTTATGGTTAATGAAATAAGGGTAGGGATTGATCGTTCATATACATACGATGATTTAATAGATCCACCTGGACCGGTCTACAGATTAGTGTCGGTGCCGCATAGTAACGAGATTAGCTCGTTATTTGAACTAGATCCCACAACGCTAACGCGGGGCGATAGTCTGGTTCCGCAATCGTCCTTTGTTAGATTACATCACATATGCACAAATACTTGGGTCCATTCAACAAGCGTCCCGATCGATAAGGATGACGAGAAGCCCGTGATGTCGAAGGTACTATAGCATATTCTGGCGATTATAATTCTTCTGCGTCAGATATTGTAAATAAAGTTCATGAATGGAAGAAATACTTATTAAATTACTCGGGGTTTTTTAATTACTTGTTAGGTGGGTTGCGCGACCAGCAAAGAGGATAAAGAGGCTTTTGCCTTGAGATCCGTGTCGCCGGTCGAAGTGCGTGATTTAGATTTCGCGAATGACGCCTGCAAGGTGTTGACGGCGATGAACAGCAAGCTGGAAAAGGGGACCATCTCGCACAATGAACGAAGAGCTGTCATTAGCTTGCTGCAAGACATCGTATACTTCATAGCTGGATTAGAGAATGAGCAGAATAAATCCGAGGCGTTAGAACTGATCGTTACAAATGCCGTGAGGGACCGCCAGAAATTATTGCGCGAACAGTACATTCTTGGCCAGTTATTCAAAATATTGCAGGTATTTCAACTTGACATTGATCGTACAGAAATAATATCAGTGAAAACGAGAGCGTCTCAAGACACCTAATTACAGGCTCCGTTCTTGGAATCTGCAGAGGGTGAGGGACCATTTCTTAGGATAGAGGAGCTCAACGATCCAAGACACGCTCCATACAAATACATGTTTCGTCTATGTTATCGAATACTCAGACTTTCTCAACAGGATTATAGAAAGAATCAGGTATTGTGATATTGCACGATATATAAATTGATTATATTGTAAATTTATTATTATTACAAAAATTTATTATTACAAAAATATTTTATATTCTTTTTCCTACATAGGAATACATTGCTAAATATTTTGCCTTTATGCAAAAACAAATCGGCTACGATATTCTAGCGGAAGATACCATTACTGCGCTTTTACATAATAACAGAAAGTTGTTGGAAAAGCATATAACAGCTGCTGAAATAGAGACATTTGTGGGTCTTGTTAGAAAAAATATGCGTAACTGGGAATCGAGATTTCTGGATTATTTATCGGATCTATGTATTTCTAATAAGAAAGCAATAGCTGTGACACAAGAATTGATTTGTAAAAGCGTACTTAGTGAAAAGAACAAAGATATTCTGATAGAAACAAAGTAAGTACGACAAACAGCATGAACAGTGTATTAATTTCTCTGATACATTTTATTTACTTTAGAATGGTGAAGACCCAGGTAGAAGTTGAAGATATTGATGAGAAACAAGAAAATGCCGAACCAAGAATCACTGTTATAGAAGAGTTTGAAGTTCTATTGGAATGGAATAATGGAACTGTTAGTATGCTTAATAAGTAATTTATTAAAATGTAGTGTATAGTATGCAAATTAAAATGATGTTTATTGCAGAATTCAATGTCTTTGAGTGAATTATCAAGAGGAGCGAAAATGGGAAACATTCAAGACGCAGCGATATTAGATTATTACAGGCATCAGTTAAATCTCTTTAGTAATATGTGCTTGAATAGACAGTATTTAGCGCTAAATAATCTGTCACCACACTTGGACATTGATCTTATACTTAAGTAAGTACATTTATCTTTAAAGTAAGGATTATTTTTAAGTTATATGATATATCTTAATTTGTGGAATTATTTTTTTTTACAGATGTATGGAAGATGAAACAGTGCCATACGAATTACGGGCATCATTTTGCCGACTAATGCTACATCTTCACGTAGATAGAGATCCGCAAGAACAAGTAACTCCTGTAAAATATGCTCGTCTTTGGTCAGAAATTCCGTCAAAAATGAGCATAAATGAGTACGTAAAAAAAAAATAATAAAATTAGCATATTAGAAATATGTTTAAAATATTTCTTTTTCGCAATTCTAGTTATGATACGAATAAAATGCCGGACGAAAGTAAAGAGGCTGTTCGTACTAGATTTAGTTCGACAATCATGTTTGTTGAGGATTATCTGTGTAACGTTGTCGCGAAAATGTGGTCTTTCGGCGATCAAGAGCAGAATAAGCTCACATTTGAGGTACACGCAATTTCTTGCTTTTTTTCTATTTTTCGATATATAATAAGTTATAATTAATTCGCTATATTGTCTATATTCACTAGGTTGTCAAATTAGCACGTGATCTAATTTACTTTGGATTCTACAGTTTTAATGATCTATTAAGCTTAACAAAGACATTGCTTAGTATTTTGGATTGTATATCAGAGAATGAATCCTCTGATGGAAAGACGGGTATACCTACGGGTGATATTGATTGTAAGTTTAATATTTCTGTTATTTCCATTTGATAAGACATAATTATATTCTGTACCGTTTATTGACAAATTTTTAATAAACCCCATAAACAATAGTAGTGAAGACATTTCGATTCATTTATATATATATATATATACCATTTGCGTGCATGGTAGTAATCTCGTAATAACAATAAAGTTTGATCTATTTTCTTGCATTACACAATGCATTGAATGCATCACTGATATAATAAATTTTCTCTCCTATTTCAATCATTTTCATGAGCAGCTTTTACATTCTGGTTTCAAGCATTGCTTTCGGAAATTTGTATATAACGTTCTTTTTTATAGTGCTGTAATATATTAGTATTATATGTAATCCATGCTTCGCATTATATGAATATCCCTTTCATAATAATATACTTTTACGCAACTATGGTATATTATTGTGTGGTAAATACCATACGGTTAAAACTAATCAATTTACTCTTGTAAATATTTCATCCCAGCTGATACGGATGATGAGGAGGCAGGTAATATCCTATTAGAAAGCTTATGTTAAAAGCTAACTAAATTGTAATATCTGGAATGAATATTAATATGATTAAGCATGCAATCTTATTATCATTATACATTGTACAAAGTATCTTTACAAAACTTTCAATTGCTTAAACAGCTTTAATTGCTTCTTTATAATTTTTTATTGTTAGAAATGAGCACAAGAAACTTGAATATAAAAATATTATATATTAACAATTTATGATATGTAATATCCTTAATTATTAGACAGATACAATCTTTATTCTATTTAATATTTTGGAATAAATCTCTTGTCTTTTTTTCTGTAACAGATAACAAAATAGTCATTATTTTATATGTTAGTTTATTTAATATGTTTTAATACAAATTAAATTTTTCTGTTGTGTACTATAATTTTTAATTGTGTGATATATGTAAATATATAATATTATATATATGTAATATTATACAACTATTATTTCTTTTTATTTATTGACTTATAAATTTCTATTTATTATAATATAGCTGAAGGAGGTATTCTAAGATGCATTGGCGATATGGGTGCCGTGATGACGAATTTAACATTAGGACCAGCCGGTCAAGTGCTAGCTAGCTCTTCTCCAAGACCAAAGCCATTAATGAAGAAGGAATATCCCTTAGTGATGGACACAAAGCTTAAGATAATCGAGATCTTGCAGTTCATTCTGGATGTTCGATTGGATTATAGAATCTCTTGTCTTTTGAGCATATTCAAACGAGAGTTCGATGAGACAGCATCGACGGCTGCGGAGAAAACGGGAGATGTTAATCTAGGACAAAAAGCTATTGATTTAGAATCAATCGGTGCACAGGCAGAAGGAATATTTGGTAGCAGGTAACATATTTTTGGATATAATGCATGAAAAGTGTACCTTATAGAATGTTTAATTTCTTGTTTTTTTTTGTATAGCGAGGAATGCGCAGCGCTGGATTTAGATGGCCAAGGAGGTAGAACATTTTTACGCGTTCTATTACATCTGGCTATGCACGATTATCCTCCATTGGTCTCTGGAGCCTTACATTTATTATTTAGACATTTTAGCCAAAGGCAAGAAGTTTTACAAGCATTTAAACAGGTTAGACCTTTTTCGGATATTGAAGTATAAATTATTAATAAGTATTTATGAGAATAATGAAAGAAATTATTTAATAATATGAACATGGTTAACAGGTGCAGCTTTTGGTTTCGGATAGCGATGTAGAATCATACAAACAAATAAAGGCAGATTTAGACATTTTGCGCCAATCTGTCGAGAAATCTGAGCTTTGGGTATATAAATCCAAGGCAACAGAGGAACATGGAAATAAGAAGAAGAAGAAGAAGAGTAAAGAAGAAGAAGATGAAGCTACAGTTCCTCGCAAAACACCTCTATTATCTACATTAGACAAACAAGGTTTTTGTCTTATTAATTGTTATTTCATAGATTTTTTTTAAATGAAAAGTGAATAAAGAATTATTTCTTAAAGGGTCTGCTATTGATTTGGATATCGGACCACCCTTACATCCCGATCAAGCGGAAGAATATAAAAAGATTCAGCAAATACTAATGAGAATGAACAAATTATGTATTCAAAATCTGCCAGGCGGCCAAGTAAAGGCACGCAAACACGAACAGAGACTTCTGCGCAATGTCGGAGTACATACAGTCGTTTTGGATTTATTGCAAGTTCCATACGACGTCAAGGAAGATGTCAGAATGAACGAATTAATGCGTTTGGCACATGATTTCCTACAAAATTTTTGTTTATCTAATCAACAAAATCAAGTTCTTCTGCACAAGCAGCTGGAGCTGTTCTTGAATCCCGGCATAAGAGAGGCGCAGACAGTATGTAGTATTTTTCAAGATAATTCTGTTCTTTGCAATGAAGTCGGTGCGAAAGTCATACAGCATTTCGTACATTGCATAGAAACGCACGGAAAACATGTGCAATATTTGAAGTTTTTGCAAACTATAGTGAAAGCTGAAAATCAGTTTATTAGAAAATGTCAAGAAATGGTGATGCAAGAGGTGAGATGCCATTACATTATATATCCATAACTTTTGTGGAATATTTTTCTATTTATCTTTATTTTTATCATAGATGGTTCAAGCCGGAGAAGATGTTTTAGTCTTTTACAACGATAGAGCCTCGTTTAATCAATTTGTGGAAATGATGCGATCTGAAAGACATCGAATGGATGAGAGCAGTCCTCTTCAGTAAGTTATTTCAGTGTATTTCTAAAGAATTCTTCTGAGAATTGTATATACTACATATTGTACGATGTTCTATTTTCTGTCGATTTATTTGAATGTCCGAGAATGCCAGACAAAGTATATGGAAATTATCGTGTTTTAGGTATCATGTAGAGTTGGTAAAACTTCTAGCTTGTTGCACGATGGGCAAAAACGTCAATACGGAAATTAAATGTCATAGCCTCTTGCCGTTAGATGATATTGTTGCTGTGGTGTCACATCCAGACTGTATACCAGAGGTGAATTTCCTTCCGAATTTTTAGTGCGCTTATATCTGATTAAAGTAAATATTACTGACCCACATTGTATAAAACATTTATAAATAGGTGAAAGAGGCATACATCAATTTTCTCAACCACTGTTACATTGACACAGAAGTTGAGATGAAGGAAATTTATACGTCGAATCACATGTGGTCTTTGTTCGAAAAATCTTTTATAGTTGATATGGGTTTAATTGCCACGTCCACCCACGATCGACAACATGCGGATACATCCTTGGAGACTTACGTAACAAGTTGTTTAATGAACATCATAGCCACATTTTTCAGCAGTCCGTTTTCCGATCAAAGCACTACCGTACAGGTAATATCTTCATTTATTATCATGGAAAAAGAAATATTAATTATCTTTAATCGCGTATATGCGTGTGTGGTATGTATGTATATACATATACATACATACATATATATACACATTCTTACGTCTTTTCTTTCCAATTAATTAATCTATATGTTATAATATCTTATTGGTATATTTAGTCCTTCAATGAATATAATTTCACAACACAATATTTGTTTTAAAATATTTTTTAACACCAAATTAATTATAAATTGTTTACATTGGGCGAAATTTGCAATTCACGCTTTTTAAATACCCAGAATTAATATTGATAATAAAGTTTATGTGGTGTTGTTTCGGCACCTTACTCTTGGTGGAAATTCTGTTGCACAAATTTCATCCATAAAAATGGATTTAAACCTACTTATTTAAATTATAACACAATCCTTCGTACACAGAAATGAAAAATTCATCTGAAAGAGGTTTGCTTATAGTATATTTTAATAATGTATATCTACATATTTAGTTTATACTAAATATTTGCTAATTTTGAATTTCAATTATGATTGTTAAAACATACAGATATAATTATTAAAATTCTTATTTATCTTAAAGCTTTCGTATTTGTTGTTTCATTACAAAATTGAAATTTATGAAGAAAAAAGATTGGAAATCTTGTAAAGCTTGCATTTTCTCATTAGTGTATAAAACTGTATGAATAATATAAAAATTAAATCGGTATAATATAATATTTAATAGAATTGAAACTAAAATAATTTTATATTATATAAGCTAGTTACATTATTATAATTATTATAATTTTTGTACTTTTTGCTTAAAGGGGGATAATTAAACAAAGCAGCACAAAACAGCAAACATGTATTCTAATTACAAAGTATATGTCGGCATATACTTCATTTAACAATCTCTCGCTTTGCATGCAAACACATTATAAATTAAGTTCACTTATTAACCAAGTACATATCACACGTACACACATATATTAAGAAACATTTTTTTAAAATATATTTTTTGATAAAGTATATATCTTTTATTAATCAGAATTTTATTATGCGTATTAAGTTCTACCTAATTATTAAGTGCTACGATTTTTATACGTTATTATCTAGAATAGTAGATAATCATAGAATACAAGTGTCAGTTATATCAATTATATTGTATGATGTGTGCTTGGTCATTGCTGAAAGCATCAGTGGCATGTTCTGTGTTTTTGGCATGCAACTCCCGGCCTTCTTTGAATCAACAACATTGGTTTATTGGGTCTATGGGTACTGTCCATCTATATGGTGGTGGGTTGGTTTACTAATAGAAACATCTGCACGAGGCTAGACTATATTGGAACATCAAGGAGTGCGATCGGAATACAGATAATAATCTTTCTGGCTATGTGAGTATCGAATGCTAGAATCTTTTCTTAATGTTGGGTAAATACAATATGGTATAAGGTGTCTACAATGTCAGAAATAATAGTTATGAAAATAGTTTATAAAATCAAGAGAAAGCTTCTCACTTGCTTGTACATAATAAATATCTATTCTTTTAAGGAGTATAAAGAATTCTGTATTCTATTTGTAGATTATATATATTACGATTGGGGGTGTTATACTAGAAATGCTTTAGCAGCACAGAGCGACTGATGTGTTGTAAATACAAACTGCATTCTCTTCTTTATGTACGCCTGTATCACGTGTCTCTGCATAATTAACACATTCATTGTCATTGAACGCACCCATTTATAAATCATTTCTATTGGTGCTAACTATGATTGTTATTATGTCCCCTATTATTCTCGAAATATTTTCTTTTGTTCTATCTTTCTCTCTATGTGTTTTCCAAATTATTCTAACTTCTAAGACAAAGTTTGCACAATTCATATGGCATGTATTATATAATATTTCTTTATTCAGATTGCTTGGCAATGAGTGTGTTACATTTTATGCAAGATGACATTTTAATATAAGGATATAATTTAAAGATGGTGTGTTATGTATAAAAATAAATAATAAAAAAGTATATAGATTATCTATATGATTGAAATTTGCGATGTTACTGAATATGTATGATAATAGTAACAAAGTTATGATATAGTGATATAAATTTTGGAAAAAAAAGTTTTATAAAAGATATTATTTAAAGAAATATATAATACAACTTATATATAAATGTAATTTAAGATATTTAGGAAGATATTTAATTTTGCTATTATAATGTGGACAATTTTAATTGATTTTTGTATTTTTCATGGAACAGACAAGGCAACCTATATTTGTCCAGTTGCTTCATGCAGCTTTTAATGTATCACAATGTGCATGGCTAAATGCTGGACAAAGATTTAACGTCGAGAATTGTATACGAACACTGTCAGATGTAGGTAAATATCTTTTAGATTTGTAAAGGAAAATTGGGAATATTAATTCGGAGGTAATATTTACTTTTATTTAAATTTGAACGATATAACATTGTCTCTTATAATTTTAGCTAAAGGAAGAGGTATTGCTATACCGACTGATCTGGAAAGCCAGGTTGCTAATATGTTCAACAAAGCAGCTATGCTGAGCAGACAAACCAGCAAATGGTTGCAAGCTACGAAACAACCAAAGATCGAACGTAGTCAGAGTCAGGTAATTTGCAACAAGAACTCTTATAAAATAGATTAAGATGGCTATACGTGCCACCGTGTGAGCAGCTGTATGTAATAAATTTACTTAAATGTGCATAGAGTGACCTACATTGTGTGGAAGGCTCTAACAACGAGGTAAAGGTCACTCATGGAAGCATAGCACTTTGTTAGTTTAGTGATGCTATGTAGTGCGTTTGTTAAAATTAGCATACTATTACATATAGGTCACATGGGCTTCGTATGTTTCACTCGAGACATTAATTAGTTATAGTTACACATACTCATGCTTACGCACGTATATACGAGAGATGTACAGCAAAATAGAACTAGATTTAATTCTAATAAAGTTTATTTAATATTTAATTTGACTACATGTTAATGATGAAATAAATATCTTAATATGTATTAAATATCTAATCTTAATATGTAATAAAGTATTAAATACTAAATATGTTGTATGAGAATATATTAGATGATTCGTATTGTGAAACGTGTTTCAATTTTAATCATAAATAGTTTATTGTAGCGTAGTTTGTAACAAAAACTCTTGTATATACAAAACAACTTGATTAGTTAAGGCAATGATCTCTTTATTAATACTGTTTATTTTTATTTAGTTTATGCGTCTAGATCGAAGTATTATAGAAGGTCTACAGGACATAGTGTCTTTGTTAGAAGAACAATTGAAACCCTTGGTACAGTCCGAATTATCTTTGTTAGTGGATATTCTCTATCGACCCGAATTGCTGTTTCCTGCAGCTACTGATGCGAGAAAGAGATGTGAAAATGGTGGATTTATCAAGAGGTACAAATTTTACTTGCAGTATATTAGTGACGTCACGTGCAATATAAATGTATTTGTTATATATTATTACGCGTTCTTGCTTTACAGATTAATTAAGCACACTGAAAAATTGTTAGAAGAAAAAGAAGAAAAATTATGCGTCAAAGTCTTAAGGACACTCAGGGAAATGATGGCTATCGATCCTGAATACGGAGAAAAAGTGAGTGTCGCGGAATTGAGTTTTGCATGAAATTACATGAATCATTTATCATGAGGAAGATATATAACACCGCATCGCGGAAAAGGGCATTCAGCTCATGTAAAATAGGTTTATGGCAGTGACATAGAAAATATAAGAATATTGTTGAATATATCGCGAGATAAACGCATTGTTTTTGCGAAAGATGATTCAAGCATTTGATCGAAAAACTTCATTCTTCATGCTGATTGCCTGGCATAAACTTACGGCGCGTTTTTGCATAATGAAGCTGAATGCCCGGTCGCTCATAGCACATTAGACGATTAATACGCGATTAAATATTTATTTGGCTTGCTGCATAAAATTACGAGAATAATGTAAAAGTTATTAAGATTTCTCAATACGCCACAAAGTCTTAACGGCGGGTGAGTAGGTCTCGTAGAATAGATCTGTAGGTAAAGATGTTTTCATGCTGCGAACGAAGAACGAAGGTATCTCGGAAGAGACGGAGTCAGAAACGAAGGGCGAGTCACAAGTTGGAACAGGTTCCAATGATCAGTCTGAGAATCGACAAATGACTCAGCAAGAGCCGGTAAAAATTAAAGTAGATAGAAAGAAATATGGGCACAACGTATATGAAACGAAATTTTATACCGAATATTATGAAAAGAGATCGGTGATCCGCGTGATGTGATTTAGGACGCGCGAACGATACTTCTAACACCGCTACGACATTACATGCTGTTGCATTGTCAAAAATAAAGAGAAACGCATTTAGGATATATCATCAGAAAAGAAGAAGAATCTAGTTTAATTCATTCTAAACTTCTCTCTGATCTGCAAATCATGACGAATCATAATTTACCTTTCATTTTAAAAACTAACGAAATGATAAATATGTTGCTAACTGTAGTTGATTAATTGTGTAACTAAGTTGTTGACTAAGTGATTGTCCATTATATGTTATATATACACATCGGGTCGTAAATGGTGTGGTAAAATTCCGTAAAGTAGAGAACATAATGTACGTTGTGTAGACTTTTTATGCATGCCGCTTGATTTATGCACGTTTTTATTTATCTTCTTCGTTTCTTATTACATATATATATCCATTTCTCACTATTATTTTATCTCGTTCGCAATATTTTACATGAAATAAGTCATCTCTATCTCTATATAGATAATTTCATTTTGAAAAAATATATGTGATATTTATATAGATATTAATATATTATACAAGCGCTAATACATAAAAGGATTGTACGTGAAAGTAATTTTGATTCACGGTACAAAGTAACAAATAATAAAATTGATAAATATGTTTACAATGTGCAATTACAATATACTGTTATAACTCTTTTTTTTTAATAAAAGAATTTCTATTTTACTCTGACTTTACCGTGCATCGAAGACTTTTATGAACTTTGAAAATATCTTTGAAAATATTATTTCTAGAGTTTGTTTCAGAAAAAATATATGTATACATATCTCTCAATATTATTAAATACAAGAATATAAACATAATATGAAGCTTTTATAGATAGATATATAAATGTATATAAATTATGTAGTAAGATGTACCAATACAATGATAGATTCTATATATTTTAACAATTACATAATTTTATATAATGATTATAATATGTATTATATATTTTAATTTTTAATACTCTTAGGCACTTGAAAGGGAATCACGTATACTGTGAATGTGCAATTTTTTGTAATTTTATGTAAATTTTTTTTTGTTAGTTCCTTACACTCCAATAACATGAATGTGTTATTTATTATAGATAGTTGAATATTTATACTCACTTATTCAGTTGACACACTTTGAGCTTAGATATACATTGATATACCAAAATATCATTGTATGCATATCCAAATATCCAAAATATGTGTGTTGCTATTATTCACTTTTATGTGCTTTACCCCAGAATTACACTTTTCTACTTATGAATACAATTTTACACCTTTATATAAATTTTATCTTGCATAAATTTTATCACTTATTCAAGTCTTCAATTTTCATATGATCTTCACCGATTATTAATGTACAAATATGTGAATGTTGTTTGCAATTATATTAACTTTACCTTTTTTTCCTCATATTGCACTTTATTCATATATTTTGTCTCCAGTGAAAAATTTTATGTCAATGATATAATGAGACTTTCTACACGCATCCTAAAATGCACAAGATATTTCTCACATCTTTTAAGCACATAAAGCACCGACTTTGTAAATATATAATTCGAATCCGTGCGTACACATTATTTGCGATATAGAACTATTTGTGAACATATGAAAAGGATATCTGTACTCTCTAGATCTCTTTTTTTTTTTTATTAATGTTGTGCACTATGTATTGGTACATCATTTCGATTTCAAATGTGTGATAGAACGCTGACGTTAAATACTCCTTTTTTTCGCAGGGAGACGCATTGAGAAACAATCTTTTGACGCGTTACTTTGGCAAAAGTTTTATACAAAATCCAGAGAATGTTGATATTGGAGTATCGCGTAGCGCGACTATTACCCACGGTCCAGGAGGTAGGTCGTCAGAATACTATCTGTACCAGATTTTATTATTTGTTATACTTAATAGCAAACTGATAATTGTTATTTACAGCGAAGATATTAAGCCGAGCTGGTAGAACCTTGCATGATGTGCAAAGTCATCTCGACCGCGAAGGTGCTTCAGATTTAGTGGTAGAATTGGTGATTAAGAGTGTACACTCTCCGAGCATATTCGTAGAAGTCGTGGAACTGGGTATCGCACTCTTGGAGGGTGGAAATCCCATTATACAAAGGAGTATATTTAATAAATTAATGGGTGCCGATTTAAGCCAATCGTTCTTCAAGGTACGTTAGTCTCGCAATTTTATAATACGCACATAGATATTATTTCACGTTATTATTTCCCGCACAGGTATTTTACGATAAAATGAAAGATTCTCAGCAAGAGATTAAATCTACCGTGACAGTAAACACATCTGACATGGCAGCGAAAGCACATGAGGATAAGGAGGGCAAAGAAGTAGACAAGTTGTCGCGAAAACGTGGATCAGGTATAAAATAAAATAAATACTATCACTCGGAAATAAACTAAGCTATTACGTATAACAAGCATACGTAAGTGTGCTAAATAATTCTATGTATATAAACTTATTAAATGTTTATTATACATATGTAGGAAAGCCTAATGGAATGGTAATAACCGATGAGATGCACGAGGAATTGAATCAGGTCGCGGCGTCCAATGCACAGGCGTACGCAAATATACGCAACGGTCTTGGACCTGGCGAAGACGCGGCAAATAACGCGTTAGACGATTTAAGCGAAAAGTCAGACAAATATAAAAGTGGCAGTTCGTCTGGCGCTGAAAAGGAAGAGGGTCAATTGAGTCCTAAAGTTCTAGTGATGCAACCAATTCTGCGCTTCTTGCAATTACTCTGTGAGAATCACAATAGAGAATTACAGGTGCGATATCTATCATCTTACCCGAATTCGTATTTTTATTTGATGTGCATTTTGCATATTAATAATCATCTTTTTCGTAGAATTTTCTAAGAAATCAAAATAATAAGACAAATTTCAACCTGGTGTCGGAGACACTCATGTTTTTGGACTGCATTTGCGGCTCTACTACCGGCGGATTGGGCCTTCTTGGCCTTTACATTAACGAGTACAACGTAGCGCTGATTAATCAAACTTTGGAAACGTTGACGGAATACTGTCAAGGACCGTGTCATGATAATCAAAATTGCATTGCCACACACGAGTCTAACGGCTTAGATATTATAACGGCATTGATACTGAACGATATCAATCCTCTGGAAAAGACCAGAATGGATCTGGTACTGGAATTAAAGAACAATGCCAGTAAATTGTTATTGGCGATTATGGAGAGCAGAGGCGACAGTGAGAACGCTGAAAGGATTATGTACAACATGAATCCGAAACAGCTTGTTGATGTAGCATGCAAGGCTTTCCATCAGGAATCATTGGATGATTCCAGCGACATCGACGATACCTCGACGAATGCAGAAGAAGGAGTGTCGCCCAAAGAGGTAATAAATAATATATTTGACGATTAACAAGAGTAAATTTAATTAATCTTTTTTAATTTTATGTTACTTTACTTTTCAGGTTGGGCACAATATTTACATCTTGTGTCATCAATTAGCGCAACACAACAAAGAATTGGCAGTGATGTTGAAGCCATCAGAGCAGAATAATGCGGATCCAAAAATTAACAAAGCATTGGAATATTATGCATCTCATACGGCTCAAATAGAGGTGCTGTAGCTTTTGTATAAATGAAAATAGAGTTTATTTTGAAAAGTAATATGCTTTACCAATATTTTCATACTTTAGATTGTAAGACACGATAGAACACTTGAACAAATTGTCTTCCCGATACCGGAAATTTGTGAACTTATAACGATGGATACAAAAATAAGAGTGCTGAACACTACAGAACGAGATGACCAAGGATCGAAAGTTTCCGATTTCTTCGAGAGAACGGAAGACATGTTTAATGAAATGAAATGGCAAAAGAAGCTTAGAGGTACGTCTATTGATTAAACACAAATTAAAATAGATTTTGTGTTATATATTAATTCTTATTTTTAACTTATAGGACAACCAATGTTGTTCTGGATGAGCAGTTATATGTCGTTATGGAGTAACATTTTATTCAATTGTGCCGTTCTTATAAACCTTATTGTAGCGTTCTTTCATCCGTTTGTGGATTCTGTGCCTAGTAAGTTTTTAATTAATAAAGTTTGAATCTTTTAGACATTATGTCTTAAAATATAACGAATATCATTGTCCCGTTTAGAACTCAGTTATCATCTATCAGCTTTAATTTGGACGGTCATGCTTGCGTCTGCTGCTATCGTTATTACTTTGCCAAGGGAATCCGGTATACGTACATTTGTTGCGTCAACGATATTGCGATTGATTTTTTCTGTAGGCCCAGAACCGACATTGTGGCTGCTCGGTTTAGTTACGGTAAAACATATACATATATATATACTCGAACGAGTGATGTAATTATAATATATATTACTTTTTTACTCATTTCTAAATGCATCATACTTATGTTGCAGATTGGATTAAAAGTTGTACATCTTATAAGTATTATAGGTAATCAGGGTACCCTGACTAGAAGCGTAGAGCAAATAATAACAAATATCGAACTTTTGTACCACATGTTATATTTAGCATTCTGCGTTCTGGGAATTTTTATGCATCCATTTTTCTATTCAGTTTTAGTAAGTAATGAAGTGACTGACTTTTTTATGCTCTTTTCATAAACATGTGCAGAATTATAATATTGTTATTCCTTTCAGCTCTTTGATGTAGTTTATCGCGAGGAGACTTTGCTCAATGTAATAAAATCCGTAACTCGAAATGGAAGATCTATTATACTCACGGCTGTGCTAGCCTTGATTTTAGTTTACATGTTTTCCATTATCGGTTTTATGTTTTTCAAAGACGACTTCCTCGTTCCTGTGGACGAAGAGATTATATGTGAGTTCAATCCCCTGCTAGTTTTATATAAGCGTGCTTAATTCTATGAACAATGACTCAAAACTTAACTTAATTTGCAGCTTCCATTGAGCAGAAAGTTGCGGGTACTTGCAGCGCTGGCGACAAGGAAAACTGTGAAGCCACGGAGACTGTATCACGTTATGCTAGCGAAGGTAGATATATATATATTGCAATAATATAATTTCTTTTTATTTAAATGTGGAAGTGTATTGAAATAAATTAATAATACAGCAAATGAGCGAGTGAGTAAACCCGAAATAATTAATATCGGCGGAGAGTTGAAAGAACGAACATGCGATTCACTCGTCATGTGTATCGTTACCACGTTAAATCAAGGGTTGAGAAATGGTGGTGGAATAGGAGACATTCTACGAGCACCTTCCAGCGCTGTAAGTACGAAGATATTAAAAATCATGGTAAATTTACTTCATAAAAAACTTCGTTATGTTCTAGGAACCTCTGTTTGTTGCAAGAGTCGTATATGACTTACTATTCTTCTTCGTCGTGATAATTATTGTTCTGAATCTCATCTTTGGTGTGATTATTGATACCTTTGCGGATCTCAGATCGGAGAAACAGCAGAAGGAATTGATTTTGAAAAATACTTGTTTCATTTGTGGTAATTATTTATTGGAATCGATATATCATCGATTTTATAATTTCCACATACTGTAAGATATAGTATATTTTACGACCTTGTATTAAATTACTGTTCTTTTTTACAGGATTGAACAGATCAGCTTTCGATAACAAAACAGTTTCCTTTGAGGAACATACAAAACATGAACATAACATGTGGCATTACCTCTATTTCATTGTCTTGGTGAAGGTGAAGGATCCAACGGAATTCACGGGTCCGGAATCATACGTTTACGCCATGGTTAAGGTAATAGTTCATAGAGCTTGAAAAATTTTGGCGATGCTTATACCTTTAAGCTCTATGTACTTTCACAGGATCGGAATCTGGAATGGTTCCCGAGATTGCGGGCCAAGTCATTAGCAGCGGACGAAGGTGAAGGAGAACAAGTGGAATTAAGGAGTCTGCAGTCGCAATTAGAATCCACGCAGATGTTAGTCAAATGTCTGTCCCAGCAACTTACGGAGCTTCGTGATCAGGTAACAATCACTGATTTTTCAAATTACTTGGAAAATCAGCAAGAACGTCCAAGAGATTGAGCGGTCAAATGGTATTAAATACAAATCATATAATTTTTTTTCTCTTTAATAGATGACGGAGCAACGAAAGCAGAAGCAGCGGCTAGGCCTTCTGAATTCTGCTTCTGCAATATTGCATAATGTACCCACGCAAATTTAAGATATGTATTTTATAGTTTCTTTCTTATTCTGGACGGAATCTCAGTTTGATACTTTAAGACGGTACATACGTAATATTCGTGTGTTCTTAACTGGCATTTAAAAATGAGAATTATACCGAGTGGGTAACCCGAGGCATTTTTACGGTTTTGTTCCTAATTTTAATGAAAGTCAAATACGCGCTTAGGGCATTAAGATTATCATTCTCCCTTTACCGTAAAGACTCTCGGCTCAGTTTATTGATCAGTCATCAAGGAACTCGAATACCGTAAATTGCATTGCCTATCATTGTATGAATATTGTTATGCATATATAGAAAAATTAACTGTATCCATTGATATATTAGAACAGATAAATCACTAAAATTTTCCAATTACTAAAATGTTATAAGGTAATATTCTAATATCTAATATCTTTTAGAATATTCTCATTTTTATGTGATCACTATATTATGTTTTTAGTTTTGTTATTATAATATTTATATATATCCAAATGAATATATTAAATATAGATTATATAGTATCAGTGTTTTATAATAGTTATCGATTTTATATTCTTTTTTGCGTTATTGAAGCTATGGTTGTGTTACGCGAATTTTTTTTTGGTAGATAATAAAGATTTTTTTTTAACTAGAAATATGATTAAAATATAATTGTAAAATTGTACAGATTTTCTGTATTATATATTTAATTACATATATTTATAGATCATCCGTTTTTAATAGTTCAGAATAATTCCTATTTTGTTGGTATCACATTCTTTATGATTACATAATCGATTATTTTCTTACTTTGTGTATTAGATGCAATAATATATGCTTTAGTGAAAGTACATATCTAATTTCATAAAAATAAAACGCTCAAATTTTAATTTTGTAAAAATGGTTGAAATTTGTATCCTGCAATATTTAGATTGATACATTGTTAATGATTTATAAATGCGGTTGGAAGATATATGCATAATTGCGAATGTGAAAGATTAAAATTTGCATTTGGGATATCAGATTGTTGGTTCAGTGTTCATGATGATAATCACTAGCAATATCACCAATGTATAATTAACGAAAACACGGTAATTAATAGGGATCAATGGACTCTATCTAATGTATGTATAGGAAAAAACTTTTGAATTTTTAGATTATAATGGACGAGTTTTAGAATGTTGTTGTCCGACTATTGATTGTTAATATATAAACGATAGTTGACATATTATAAATTTTAATCAAGTTGTGTTATTGTATTATGACATAGATGCATTAATTGAACATTGCATGCTACAGAGCTGTTATTATGGAGCTAAAATTTAACTCCTTTTGAAAATAATATACTTGAGATTTGTGTCTATATGCGAATATATAATAATATATACATTTTATTTGTTTTTAATGTAATATCGAATTTAATGCAATTGTATATATTTTATTAGGTATCGTAATCGTCTAGAAAAATGAAACGCTGTTACTTAGAGCAAATTACTTCTTTATCCCCTACAATATGTTATTAATTATATGTATATCGATCTCCTCATATTTCCTCTTTATTTTATGTTGGACATACCAGATTATACTGTTAAGCTCTTTAAATTTAAATAATATCTGTTAAGACATATTACTTTTAATGTCTAGCTCATGCGGTCGTTTTTATTATATGATATACATATGTAGCTACATTATGCATGTAGATTGCGTTCATACTTACATGTGAATAAATTATGTTCTTTTTTAATGAAGTTGTATTTATTATGTGATTCTTATATTCGCGATATGATACTTTTTCATAGATTCACTCACAAATTAATATGTTAATAGTACAGAAAATGTTTGTGTATTTTTATGATCAAATAGAGTGCAGCGTGAGCACGCACGCATATATGATATGTAGATAATATTTTATATGTAACAACGTATAAATTTCATATACATTAATAATGTATTTTGAGTATATTGCAGATTTTAATATAAGAAAATGAGAATGGGGTCTAATTAAAATGATTTTAAATTTTTTATGGTGTGCTATATTTATCTTGTTCTTCTTCGCATTTAGTTTCGTGAGATTAAAAACGAGCAAATATTAACTAGTAATTAATTTAAAGTGAAGTAAGTAATGAATTTGAAAAAAGATTTTTAAATACGATGAAAGAGATATTAATGACACATACGTGTTAATTTAATTATTTGTATATTCCGATTTTTTTAGTTTCCTTTTTAGTTGCTAGAAATGATTAAAACTGCGATTATTATATTATCCACTTAAATATTTCATTATCGCAATAAAACGCATTTGATACTGCAGTACGTTGCTGATTACGTTGCTGAGATGCATAAGTAAAGTTAATACGAAATATTATAAAACCAGAAATAGCAGTGTAAAATGTAGAATGTTACACATTAATAAAAAATATGTATATATTTTTACTGGACCAGGTATTCAAAATTATAATTACTACTTCAAATTATAACTACTTCTTTCGCTAATGAGGTGCGGAAAGTAACTAAAAATAACTGAAAATATATAAATGTTTCATGTTTCGCTATTCAATATGTGTGCCATCTGCTTTTTCATTTTCTGTAATTTTGAAAATAGATGGTATGATCGCCTAAAAAAAATTTCTTACAATAATGAATGCTGAACCTCTTCTAAGCTAGCAGGACCAAATCGGCAGAATCAAACCGGACCTATCAGAATATTTAGTACCCATTTTGTACTAATTTGTACCACTAATAACAATTTTGTATCCCGTGCCATTTCGGAGAAAATCGTGGCGGTGCTACCTTAGCAAAGCTAGAAAGACCACAAGAAAAAAAAAAGAAAAAAAGAAAATTAAAATTTGTACCATACAAATAATACATTCATCCCTTCTGCAATGCTCGAAAAATAACTCGCCGGCTGATGCGCAACAGCGGAGTTGTTTTAGCGTCCATTCGTATCGTTAATGAAATTCTTTATCCGTGTTCCGAAAACGATGTCCAATCAACTTTGTTCCGAATTTCGAAGTCGCGCGACACAACGCGAGACGCGGAGTCATTGTCGGTAAAAGCGAGATTGATCGTCCGAAAGAAATTATAATCAATATTATACTATCGAATATATTATCGAATGCGACGTACCTCGGTATCTATGGCTGGATTCGGGGAGCGCGCTATTAGCGCTATTTGCTTATTCTATCCTTGTTTTACATCTGATGAGCAATAAAGACAGAATGATGCAATAGCGCTAATAGCGCGCTTCTCGAATGCAGCCTATATAAATTTCGCGAAGCACATGTATTAAATTCGATACATCAATTTTTCGTAATCTAAACCGTCGCGCCGGGACCCGGCGGGCGCGATTCATTCGTGTATTATCTATTATTATTCCGCCATGCGGTCTGATTGTGAATATTGTGATGTGAGAGCGGCGCGGCGGCCGGCGAAGTTAAAGCGTGGTCGTGCGCGCCGCGGTAAACACGAGTAGTGGGGGTAGAGGAGCGGTTCGAGGCGTGCTGACGTCACGCATACCGTGCGCGCACCGTGCCTAGACACTTGTAGCCCCCACTTTGTCCCTACCAATCGCGTTGACGAGAAGCCGTTAGTCGCGGCGCGGCGCCCGCGTCCCGCGACTCCGGCGCTCCATTATTCACATCAGTTCGGAGCGCGGCTTCTTCGTCGTAATCAGTCGTAATTTTTCCGTTGCCGTGTAACTAATTGTAAGTAGGTACGTGCCGCGTCGCGAGATTAATGCCGGAAGTGTCGTGGGAAGTGTTGAAAATATCGCGGAGATCGCGCGATCATAAGCGACGATATCGGTTGATTTTCATGAATGGAGTGAGTGGACGCGACGCCACGGTTGCTTTTGGCGAGTGAAGTTGGCCGTGCGATTTACGAAATTCCGCCATGTTCGTCTACCTGCGGGACATCGCGGATCGCGG